AAACTAAAGAAGCAAACTTGTTTTGGCTGATCGACTACATTCCTGGTAAGGGTGAAAATTGGGAAAATTTGTCATTTTGATAACGCTTATCGCTGTAACATTGTAATTTATCTCAGGCTTTTAAAATGGCCTTTTGTCAAAATCTTCAAATTGTGCTGTTCAAGATAAAGCATAAAAAAGCCAGAACAAAAGCAAAATAAATGCATGTGTGCCACACTCTGTAAGACTCCAAATAATTTTCTCCATTTTGCTCCCTGGCCTGTAAAACTCTGAAAAAGAACAGGCAGAACGAACACATGGTGTGAGTGTAAAGCCGAGGTTATCAGCTCTGTGTGTGTTGTGCTTTTTTGTTGTGATCCCACAGTAATTGCACTCTTGGTGGGTGGTTGATGAAGATTAGAAGCTGCTGCAGATCTGCCTTTAGACCACGTTGTAAAACCACTAACAAACTTGGCAATTAAGTCTGACGCTGAATATGTTTTACTGCCCGCCTCCCCACTTTAATATAAGGGCAGGAAGCTCCATTCAACTGTCTGTCAATTAACATCTCATTTACAAACTACAAGTGTTTGTAAACACTGATTCGCAGATGTTGGTGGCTGGAATCTGGCTGCATGTGTGCAGATCGGGCAGCAAGAGAGAAATTCAACAGAGACAATTCAGAGTGAAATGCAACAAAGGAAATTCAGAACTGAATGCAACAGAGGAAATATAAATTGTAATTCAGAGTAGATTCAGAAAGAAGTTTAAGAGAAAAAAAGTCAGAGTACAATTGAACACAGAAAATTCAGAGTGGACTTCAACAGAGGAAAGAAATTCAGAATGAGATTCAGAGGAAATGTAAAGAAAAACTTAACAGAGGGTGAGATTTATAAATAATTCAAAGTGGAACTGAACTCTGGAAATTCAGACTGCCAAAAACCTGAACTATACGGTCCTCTACTCTATGGGTGCAGCTAACTTGTTTCCCAACAAGTTGGGATGCTGTGCAAAATATAGATAAAAACAGAATGCAATGATGTGCAAATCAGTTGAGCTTGAATTGAAAATAGTACAAAGACAACATGTCACTGTCACATGTTGAAACAGAAATTTTATTTATTCATTTATTTTAAAATATATGCCCATTTTGAATTTGATGCCAGCAACTCATTTCAAAAAAGCTGGGACAGGGCAACAGAAGACTGGTAAAGCTGTGTAATGCTAAAAAAAACACCTGGTGGAACATCTCACAACTAATTACATTAATTGGCAACAGGTCAGTAACATGATTGGGTAAAAAAGAGCATCTCACAGAAGGTGAGTCTCTCAGGAGTAAAGATGGGGAGGGATTCACCACTCTGTGAAAGATTGTGTGGGCAAATAGTGCAACAAATCAAGAATATCCTAAAATAAAAAGAACATGGGGATTTCATCATAAATGGTGCATAATATCATTAAAAGATTCAGAGAATCTAGAGAAATTTCTGTATGCAAGGGACAAGGCTGGAAAACAATACTGGCGGACGGACTGAGGCGAAATGGAAAAGCATCCTGTGGTCCGACGTATCAAAATTTAAAATTCTTTTTGGAAACATGGACCCCACGTCATCCAGGCTAAAGAGGAGAGGGATCATCCAGGTTGTTATCAGCACATTTCAAAAGGCAGCATCCATGATGGTATGGGGGTGAACTAGCTCACATGGCAACGGTGACATGCACATCTGTGAAGGCACAATTAATGCTGAATGATATATACAGGTATTGGAGCAACATATGTTGCCATCCAGACAACATCTTTTTTAGGGAGGGCCTTGCCAAAACAATGTCAAACCACATTCTGCACATATTACAACAGCATGGCTCTGTAGTAAAAGGCTCCGGGTGCTAAACTGGCCTGCCTGCAGTCCAGACCTGTCACCACTGAAAACATGTGGCGCATTATGAAACAGAAAATACGGCAAAGGAGACCCTGAACTGTTGAGCAGCTGAAAACCCATATCAAGCAAGAATGGGAAGATATTTTACTTTCAAAACTACAGCAGTTGGTCTCCTCAGTTCCCAAACACTTACTGAGTGGTAACACAGTGGTAAACATGCTTCTGTCCCAACTTATTTGAAATGTGTTGCAGGCATCAAATTAAAAATGGGCATATAATTTTAAAAACACAAGAACATTTTTAAGTTAAGATTTGATATGCTGTCTGTGTACTATTTACAATTACATATAGGGTTTCAATGATTTTCATGTCATTGCATTCTGTTTTTATTTACATTTTGCATAGCATCCCAACTTTTTTTGAAATGTTGTTGTTGATATGGCAAGGTATCACAATAGCTCCTTATATGTGATTGTGTCAAAACACTCCAAGTACTATTTTTGATCATTTTGGTCCAAAAAATTAAGGTGGCTGAAATTATGGTTTATGTCTACAGTATAACCTCAAAATCCATTTGAAACCTACAATAATTTTATTTAATTATTTTTATTCATAAATTCTTCATTTATATTATTGTATTATTATATTATTTTCATTTGCATAGCCAGTTTGGCACTAAAGCTTAGTGGGCTTACAAAAAAGACCTTGTGAGTCTTCAGGGAAGAGAGAGAGAGACATGGGGGGTGGAGAGGAAGAGAGGGACAGATATATCCCATGGAAAAGAGAGACAGGAAAAGGAAAAAGAGAAAGCAAGTGAGAAACAGAGATAGAGAGAGAATGAGGGGAGAAACAGCAAGAGAGGAGAAGAGAGAGAGAAAAAGATAAAAAAGGAGGGAGAGGGAAATAGCAAACGAGGCTGAGAGGGATAAACAGAGAGGATGACAAAGAAGAAGAGAAAGGAAGAGAGAAAGATAGCCCGAAAATAGAGATAGAGTGATCAATAAGGAGTGAAAAATGAAGCAAGATAGATGCGAAAGCATGATAGAAAGAATGAGTATGAGGAAATGGAAAAGTGAGAAATAACAGATCAAAACAGAAAATGATAGAAGAGAGAGAGAGTAACAGAGAGAGTGAGAGGGAAAAAGTAAAAGGAGAGAGAGAGAGTAAAAGAGAGAGAGAGAAAAAAAGACTAAAAGACAGAGAGAGAGAGTGAGAGTAAAAGAGAGAGAGAAAAAGAGAATAAAAGACAGAGAGTAAGAGAGAGAGAGAGATTAAAAGGGGGAGAGTAAAAGAGAGAGAGGGAGAATGACAGAGATGCATCAGAACACGTCATGTTGTTTTCCTGTTAATGGAGAAGAAAGATGAACCAGCTTGCCTGTCACTGCACACCCTATCAGAGAGAGAGAGAGATAGAGGGAGAGAGAGAGAGCAAGAGACAGACAAAGAGAGGAAGAGAGAGTCCGCACAAGAATGAGAAGACATCCAATGAAAGGAGTAAAAAGAAAGAACGCTAATCTTCAGGTTTTGAATTGCAGCATATCCATAATTCCTATTTCTTCTAATGTTATTGTCTTTAATAAATTCTTATACAATGTAGATTTAAATATTACAGTCGGTTGCATTTAATTTAAAGCCTTTGGAACAATTATAGTTCATTATACAACAGTTAGTTCCAGCCACACAAGCTGATTGACTGAGAAGCGTTCTAACCGTGTTGTTATTTCACCATAACATCATGGGTTTTTCACAAACACGTCACTCCGCTGAGACGCCATTGCTAAGCAAAGACTTTAATAAGAGATGCTCAAGCCATTTGAACGTTTTTACTTCTTACTTTGCGCACAAAAAGAAATGGATACTTTGAAGATTAAATTTGACTGACAGCCGATTTGGTCAGACTCTGAAGATGAGACTACACTAAATTCCCAAACTGTCACCTGGTCTGTGTAAGGAGATGGAGAACTAACTGCCGGCTGTGCAGCGAGTGAGCGGAGCTAGTTACTGTGACGTAGCAACAAGCTGCTTGTTAAGGACCTATAATTTGGCAGAAGGAACTGCTAACATTAAAACATTAAATGCCACGTTCACGGCCCAATTTATTCATTTCTTACTTTATTTATTTAACTGTTGTATAAAAGCAATAGAACACTCAAGGTTGTGCATTATCACTATAACGTCACGGCTGCGATGATCTATTGCTTAAATAAAACGTTATAAGTCATGAAGCCCCCTACACTTCCTTTAGTATATTACAATCTATCAGAATGAGGAGAGATGGAGACCTGAATCAGCGACCTGGTTTCCAGGTCCAACAAAGGTAATTACATTAGCATCAGTAACTGTAATGCAGCAAATGAATAACACCTTTTGTGTCAAACGTTACATGTGATTTTGTTTGCAGGGAAAGAAGCAAACCAATGCGAAACATTTGGCCAGCATGCAGTTCAGATATTAAGTATGCTAGCTAGTGCAATAGTTAATTTAACCGAATTTTCAATTTACCTAGCTGACGTTTTAGTAGGTTACAGATCATATTCCTTTTAAACTTATTAAAACTTCAGCTAGATTAGTTATTACATTAGATAGCTGTTACAATAGGCAGATGAACCAGATGCTCGCTGAAGTAAAATAATTTGGTTTTGTTAAGGAAAGGGCTAACCAAAGGGATAGTCAATACGCCAGGCCAGGTCAGAACCATGAGAGCAATAAACAGGTACAGAGGGAACCAGAGACCAAAGCACATAAACAAGCAAGGGTCAAGGGCTAGAGAAACACACAATACAATACCGAAGTCTAAAGGAGAATCCAGAGGAGTAAACAAGGGACAAAAGGGTCAAATAACATGGTAAGCATAAAGAGGAGAAACACTCGGTACGCAAAAGTGTAATGGCAAAACTTCGCAAAGAGCATCTGATATAAACAGGTATATATATGTGTATATATACACAAAAAGATAACGAGCACAGGTGAAAGTAGTTAGAACTAAGGGGAGGAGGATCTGTGTCATTATTATTAAAAACATTGATTACAAAAATTTTGAACAGTGCTGTATCTTCATACAGCACATCCTCACTGCTTTATTAATATGACTGTGATCGTTTGAACTCTAACATAAAGAAAGGAGAAGGTAAATGATCTGACCGTCAGTGGAGCAGCCAGTTGACCCATCGCTGGAACAGTAGCGCATCTCTATCCTCTGCCTGCCCACCTCCAGCAGCCCTGGCTCCGCCACACGCGCCTTACAGGTGTAGCGGAATCGCTGCTCGTAGTGACCGCCGTTATCTGAGATATTCACAGGGGTCCAGGGCGTCCAAGGGGTCGTTTTCTTCAGATCCGGACAGGGCAGGGTGTTACAAGACTGGTATTCCTATAAAAACAGAAACAAAAACAAAATACAGTTTAAGCCTGCATATAGTGTATGTTCTATGTAGCATATCTGTATTGTACATTTTTGTCTTTTGTTTCGTCTCTTGTTTTTGACACCGTAATAAACATAGTCTGGCTTAAGATACCAACTTCATTTTTGGTACAACCATTTATTGAAACATGCTCTTTCCAGCTGCATACATTATTTTTGGTGGCCTTTTTTCATACATGAGAAATTGGATATAAAATGTGGGCATGATTTTTCTTGGAGAGACTTTCTTTTATTTAATTTTCTGTCAGAACAGCTATTGAGCTGTTCATTTTCCATCTTAAAAAAGTAAAAATTCACATTTTTAAACAGAAGATTATACAGATACCTCAACAACTAAATATATAAGATTTTTCAGTATTTAGTGTGTCCACACATTGCCTTATTTACAGTTTCCATTCTTTTCAGGAGATTCGCCTTCAGTGTTTCAAAGACATCTGCAGCCACACTTCCAAAGTTCAGTCTTGAAAGTTGGTTTTGCATTTTCTGCTTCTCAACCATCCAAGTAATCCCAAACATATTCAGTGATGTTGGGGTCTGGACTCTGGGGTGGTCAGTCGATTGTTCTGAGAACACCAGCAGCTTCTATGTTTAACTCGTCTGTTTCCATTTCTCAGTAAGAGCTTCTTGACAGCTACACATCCTTTCAGACTCATAGTGTTGAGTTGTCTTCTCACAGTGAAAGGATGGACAGAAACACCTGTGGATTTTGTTTGGATCTGAAGTCAGAGTGGAGCTTGATTTTCCCCTCTCTTTCAAAGATGAAAGCTTCTTGTGCTGTTTATCTGATGGGGACAGATTTGCTGGTCTACCAGGTCTTGCAGGTGGGTGTTAGGAGGCCCATTTTCCCTGGACCTTTTAATCACTTCAGAACTCCAGTTTTGGAAACTCCTGTTTTTGCATTTATTTTCCTTTGACTTTCTCCTGCCTTATGCAAGCAGATTATCTTATATCTAATCTCCTCAGAAACATCTCCTAAAATAAGAAAAACTTGTACTTAAAAGTCAATACAGAAGTATTAAAGTAAGAAATACAGATTTAAGGATCTAAAATTTGAGGTCCAAATTTGTTCAAATCTAAACTTTGAGCTAACTATAGAATTACAAATACATATCTCTATATATTTTGTTTGGTAGTAGAAAGGCAAATAGAAATAGTCAGAGAGCAGAACAGAATTCCTGTTGGGTCCACTCTCGATCCTCCAACAACAACATAAACAAGAACATGTTAGTGCTTAACAAAGCATACAGACTTTCTGGAGGATTATAAATATTCATTTGGAAATGTAGTGCTTTCCTTTTTACAGTTTTATTCATCTGAAATCATGGTGTAGCTTTAAATATTATGTACAGAAATTAATTCTAGGTTTGCTTTGCATAGCAAAGACTTGCATAGATTTGAAATGTTGGAATACTACATAAAATCTTTTTTTTTTCAAAATTAAAAGATTACATCTCAACATATTGCAGACAAAATATTGCAAAATCTGTCATGAAAAATAGATTTTTTAACGGATTCACCTGTTGCTGGCATTTATTAATATCATACCAGTTGATTTAGCGAAATATTAGTCTTAATGTTGCATTTACACAGTTTAACAACAGTTCAACTCAATATATAACATTTAATTCAGAACTTGATGTGGCAAACCTGAATTTTGAAATTGTTTGCACTCTTGCAGAAATTACATTGATGTGTTTGCTTGAATTTTTCGTGGAAATCCAAGACTTGAGTACTAGGTGAGTTGGTATGGAATGACTCTGTTACTGGTTTGTTTGGTCTTATGGTGGCATTTTGCTGAGCCCTACTGCTCCCTTTGCTGAACATGGCAGGAAACAATTAGAAAAGGTCATCGATCATGTTTAATTTACAGCAACTGAAAAAAAAAAAAAATAATTAATGCTGTCACAATGCAAAAACGACACTGCAATTTGACTTGCATTTCAAGAATCTGACAAAAGACAAACAGACTCACCACTACAGTGAAGTGAGAATGCAAAGGAGATCTATGAAGAAGCTGAACTGAACTTGGTGTCATCCATTTTCCAAGCCTCTACACCAAAACACTGCAGTAAATCTTCATCTTAAATATCTATAAAGATATGCTATCTAGCCACAATGCTTTCACGTCAAGTTCTAATAATATATGAACTTTCGGGGCTTTAGTTTATGATAATTTAGAGCGCCTGCAAAAAAAGAAGTGCCATCAAGTGTTCAGGGGATCAGATTTGTCTTCTGACACCTGAATAAATTAGCTTTAAAAATAAAGAGGCATAAGTTTTGAGTAAATCATATGTGTTCATTTGGCGGAGTGGTGAGCTGTGGCCGTTTTCCGTCCATTTATTTATTTATGCCGAGTAGACCTTGAGCGGCTGCCAGACCTTGGCGAAAAAAAAGATAAAAGTCGTTGCTGTTCATCCGTCAAGCTGTCAAAAAAAGCAAGCGGACGTGGAGCTTCACACATGCACTACAGAAGGAGAAGACCAAGGTTAAGAAGCTGCGGGAATTTATGTCCAGTTACCACACAGGACAAAGTGTCGCTCTGTGACAGGTCACCTGCTTTAAACCATCTAAACCTGGTCAATAATGTTTATTTCTATTTATGTTATTACAAAATAACCACATTAAGCTACTCATTTTTCAGAAGGTCTATGTGATTCAGTCACCAAGATGTAGATAAAGTAATTCAGAGTGGTTTAAAATTCATTTTGAGGCAGATAGAAAAGTACCGTTCCAGGCTGTGAAGGGATGACGGCACTTTTGATACCCTGCCCAAGGAACCGAACTGTCAAGGGGTTGGTGTACAGGCGCCAGAACGTGGCACCATTTAAGGTGGAACAGAAAATTCACCAAACAAGCTGGTGAATTGGAAGCCAACTTCAGGACAACTTTAGTTCAATGTTGTTATTTTGCTCTGCACATTTCACTCTGGACAGTTTCTCAAACCCTGGACAATGACAAGCAGGCTTTGCCCAGCGTTTGACACTAAAGAGACTAAAGAGAGTTTCCATCTGTATTAGCATCACAACCACAACAGCAATCAGGAAGCAGCAGCCATGCCATGTTAATTCATCCACTTCTTGATCACTGAAGCCAGAACATCTCAAATTGAAAGTTTCATAATGAGCTACAAACCTTACATTACTTTGTGTTGTTGTTGTGATCGAAAGCAAGTAGCTAGTATAGGTAATGGTAGCTACTAGCAAGCTCCAAGTCACTAGCATAGCTAACTAGCTAACTAAATAGTATGACAACCATCTTATTTACATGGAGGTTCATCTTATTTTCCTGCCTGTATCTATTTCGACATGTTGCTTCAGTGTGAGCCATCGCGGTGCCTCGCTGTAAACCAGCACATCGGAACAGAGCTCATCAAAATATTCATGAACCCCCTAAAAAGGGAAAACAACTTGTTTCATTCATACGGCCAAATCAAAGGCCTGTAAATGGGCATGTAAAACTGCATATGGGCATTTTAGCCCTGACTAAAGTCACATACCTTCTATGTAGACATCAGAGAACAATGTAAAATTCTGAATAAATGCATTCTATGGCACATTTAAAGAGCCCTTATAATACTTTTTTCTTGTATTTGATTTGTTCCTGTTTTTTATACTGTGTTTGTTTGTATTATGTTTTATGTACCAAAAATAGTCATAACTCATTTGTATGTGACCATTTTCCAATCTCTCTTTATCTATATTAAACAGGCTGTTTTTGTTGCTGTGCCTTTAGACTGATTTATGGAAATGAGCTCTGTTCTGATTGACCGTCTTGTGTTGCGCCTCGTTCAAAAAGCTGTCCAGGCTGAAAAACTCCTTATACTTAAACTCCTTAACTTTAGCTGTAGGCTGAACAGGCAGATATATGTAAATGCATTGTTTTTTGTATGCATGTTCATTTTTTTGACAACAGTGAAATCAAAAAAGACTTTTTTGCAGCTTAGTTGAAACTATAACAGGGCTGACATACTACGTCAGACTCTTTTTTCCATGTTATGGGAAACAAATACCAGAGCTGGACAGGGAGATCAAATGAGCTGCTTCAGCAAATTTCTCTGAGCCGATTCCATATCTAAAGAGGTTACTGCAACAAGGAAAAGCAAGCAAATAGAGCAGATACATAGAAATAGTACAAGTAAGACATGAACATTTAGGAAGGCGAATGTTGGGTTCTTGTCTGAGTCTGTTATTTGCATTTGAGCTACAAACATGGGGTGAAGATTTAACGGGGGATCTGAAGTGTTTTCTCACAGCATGAAAGGCAAACGTGTTTACAAGTGGACTTGGCCAATAATTACAGCCCTCTAATAAAAACCACACGGTGTGTCTGGATTCGGCCCCACACGAACGCGCTTTAACCAGGCCGCAAGCTGTTCACCTCCTTTCATAATGATAGCTTGGCTAAACAGGCTCGCTCTCCTCATAACATTAAAGGCTGTTTTGAAGTGCGAACAGCATTGGCAGTGACTGAAATGCTAGTTTCAGGCAATAATTTGGTAAAAAATCAAACATCAGTTGCATGCTGTTAGCTCCATGCTAATAGGTGGGGTATAAGCTTTCATTACTTATTAACTATGTAAAGGCCACTGCACACTAGGAGTTGCATGACTTAATTTTTACCAGTTGACTAGTCATTCGCAACAGTAGATGAACAGTTGTCGTTACCATATAAAGTATTTTGTTAGTAACTTGCTAACAGGGGTTGGTTATAGAAAGAATAGCTCTCAGATGCTGTGATTTGAAGTGGGCGCTTTTTATAGAAGAGTTTTTCTTGTATTTCAGTATGTTTTAATCTCAGGCACTCTGCACACAGATGTACACACTATCTGTTGTAAACTGCACTCTAAAATCATCACAGCTCTTACCTCTCAGAGAATTTAAACTGGCTCTAACTATCTGTGCCTCCTTGCACCGGCTTTATCAGTGCAAAACAATTGTCTATCCAGCTAA